GACAGCATAATAACTTAATGACAGAGTGAAAACCCCAGCTTTGCTACTTAATTGCTGTGTGAACTTGAGCCAAGTACATAACCTCTTTGAGTACTTAGTACAATGACTTGTGTTAATGGCAAGTGCTTGATAAATGGTGATCATACTAATGATTGCCAATAGTATTCATGTAAAATGTCTGAGAGCCTTAAACCTCACTCAGAAGGTTTACTCACAAGTAAAAGATTAAGAGTGTAATTCTGAAATAATTTTATGTATATCATAAGACAGAACAAATGAGTAAATATTGTTGGGATCCAAAAGATACAAAATAAAAGGATATTAAGAAAACACTAGAATATTGCTTTTTATTAAAAACTAGAGGCCCGATGCATGAAATTCATGCAAGGGGTTCAGCCCTTGCAGGCCTGGCTTGGTTCGGAAGGTCATCTGGACAGTCATTCTGCTATTTGGTCTAATTAGCATATTAGCTCTTTATTATATAGGATACCAGGTAATATTGTCAAAATAAAATAAAATGTTTAATAAGACTATGAGTTTTTGTTTGTTTTTCTTGTTTGTTCATTTGTTGCTTTCAGTTTTATATCCCGCATATGAGTGAAATCTTATGGTTCTTGACTTTTTCTGTCTGACTTACTTCATGTAGAGTGATAGACACAGATAACAGTATGTGGTTACCAGAGAGAAGAGGGGTGGGAGGTTAGTAAAAGGTAACGGGGTCAAATATATAGTGACAGAGTAAGATCTGACTTTGGGTGGTGGGCTCACAATGCAATATACAAATGTTTCATCATAGAACTGTATACCTATATAATTTTATTAACCAATGTCACCCAGATAAATTTCTTTTAAAAAAATAAATTAAATACCACTATACATTTATTACTAAAAATGTGTTTCTAGATCTGTCCACGGAAAGCAATAACACCCCCAACAGGAGCGAGCCTACAAAGCCTAAATCTTGTTTCTAAGCACCGTTCACCAGCAAAAGGAAACAAAGGTCCTTAGCGAACAGGCTCATTTTAGTTCTGTAGCCTGAAAACTGCAAGTGACCTAAGAGATCAACCAAAGGACTTGTATGCATGCATATAAGCATAACCAATGGACATAAGACACTGGGGGATAGGGGAGGCCAGGGGATTGTCAAGGGTGGGGGGGGAAAAAGGAGACATATGTAATACTCTTTGTAATACTTTAAGCAATAAAAAAATAAAAATAAATAAAAAGGAAAGCAAGGAAGTGATGAGAGACGACAGGAGTCAGGTTACAAGCTACAGAGACCACCTTTGTGGGGCTCCTGCTGGCCAAAGGTGATAGATTTTGAGCACACACACAAAAAAAGAATTGATTTCAACACAGTAAATAAGTAAAAATCCATGTGTCCATAGAATTGGAAAGAAAATAAAAGCTTTTCTATACAGAAGAATGCCAGCTAATAAATAGAATGGTAGAATAAGAATATTACCACTTTGCCACCATCCTTGGTGTAATACAAGCAAGAATCGATGGATGCTAAAGTCAATGGGAACAGAATTCACCTGCCAATTATCACCCCACAGATACCTTATGTAAAAGCATACCTTTACACTAAGGAGATGGGCAATAAACTTAGCGTCAGCAACAATGCAACATTCTAAATCAGTTGCCCCCAACATGATGCAATATTAAGCATACAACTTTACCACTGAAATAGTCTTGCCAAAAAGGTTTACTCCGCATCCAATCCAGACTCTAGCTACCACTTTAAGTGTATAAGGTATAGAAAAACAAGTTAAACAGTATCATGAAGATACAGTCAGAGCACTTCTCCCCAACAAGTCAATGCTATTAAAAAAGAAAAAACTATAAAAGGCTAAAAATAACCAACAAATGCAATGAGTAAACCTAGACTGGATCCAAATGTGGGGATGAAAACAGCTATAAAAGACATTCTTATAGAGTGATGACAGCTGAATGGAGAATATTAGATGATTATTGGTTATTGTTGTGTAACAAATGACCCCAAACTTAGAGCTAAATACAACAGATGTCTATCATCTCACAGTCCTCACAGGGGTCAGGAATGCGGGCATGACTTAGCTGGGTGTTTCTGACTGAAGGCTTCTCATGGGTTACAGTCAAGTTGTTGATCAGGGTGACAGTCATCTCAAGACTCCACTGAAGGAGAATTCACCTCCATGCTCACTCACATGGTAGCCGACAGGCCTCACTTGCTGGCCACATGGGCCTTACCACAGGCTGGCTGAGGGGCCTCACCACATGGCAATTGGCTCCCACCAAAGCAATGACTCAAGAGAGATGAAAAGAGTCAGTCTTTTCATAAGCCAACTCAAAAGTGACATCCTATCACTTCTGACATATTATAGTCACTGGAAGTGAGTCACTTAGTCCAGCCCACACACAAGGGGAGAGGAATTAAATTCTACATCTCAGGGGAGGACAAAAAACTTGTGGGCTTGAAACCACCACAGATGATCTCATGGCTTTATTGGTAACTCTGAGATACAAAAATGGCATTGTGGTGATGTAGGGTAGTGTCCTTATGCTTACGATACCTATGCTGAAATAGCTAGATACAATACATATAACGTCTGCAAACTATTTTCAAGTGGTTGTCCAAATGCGTGTGTGTGTGTGTGTGTGTGTGTGCGCGCGTGCGTGCGTGTGTGTGTGTGTGTGTGTGTGTGTGTGTGTGTAAAGTAACAAAACAAATATATCAAGATGCTAACAAGTGTTACATTTTGGTGGATGGGTGTTCACTGTATTCCTTCACTCTTTCTATATATTTTAAGTTTTTTCATAAGAAAATGTTGGAGTAGCCCAGCCGGCATAGCTCAGTGGTTGAGCATCAACCTATGAACTAGGAGGTAATGGTTTGATTCCTGATCAGGGCACATGCCCGGGTTGCAGGCTCGATCCCCAGTGTGGGGCGTGCAGGAGACAGCCAATCAATGACTCTCTCTCATCATTGATATTTCTATCTCTCTCTCCCTCTCTATTCCTCTCTGAAATCAATAAAAATATATTTTTTAAAAGGAAAAAAAATGTTGGAGTAAAGTAATTTACTTGATCTTTTCAAATTAGCTACAACCACAGCAAAGGATTGCTGTGGACTGAATTGTGTCTCCCCTAAGCATCATTGTTATTTCTATCTCTCTCTTCCTCTCTGAAATCAATAAAAATATATTTTTTTAAAGGGAAAAAAGAAAATGTTGGAGTAAAGTAGTTTACTTGATCTTTTCAAATTAGCTAGAACCAATCCTTTGCTGTGGACTGAATTGTGTCTCCCCTAAATTCATATGTTGAGGCCCTCATGTCCATTGTGGTGGTATTTGGAGATGGAACCCTTGAGAGATAATTAGGTTTAGGTGACATCATGAGGGTGTTGTCCTCATGCTGGGATTGGTGCCCTTGTAAGAAGAGACACCAGACAGTTTTCTCCCTCTCTGCCACGTGAGGACACGGCGAGAAGGCAGCCATCTGCAAGCCAGGAAGACAGCTCTCACCAGGACCCTTCATCTTGCTCTTCCAGCCTACAGAACTGTGAGAAATAAATGTCCATTGTGTGCGCCACACAGTCTGTGGTATCTGGTATGGTGCCCCACGCTGACTAACACAAGGGCTTTGAAATGATTGAAGCTACTTGGTAACAATGACAAAAGCTTTGCTCTTTTCAGCAAAGCTAATGTGTCAGGAGAAGAAATCCAGTGGTAAGAAAGGATTTGTGACGCAGGGAATTGGGAAGGGCGGGCATGGAAAGTATTATCATGATTGTGGATCGTTTCACATTCTAACCGCCCATCCCATCCAGTTTGGCAGTAATCACTGGAGGCATGGAAGGCCCACAAAGAGACCCCACAAGAATGGCTCCTTGTACTGCATTTCAGTCCAGAACCCCTTGAGCTTGTGGGAGACCACTGGACCTTGGCCCCTCACGGAGCCTCTCTTTTTCAGCATTAGTCATTATCTAATTCCAAATTCCGTCCCCATTACTATTTAATCCTTTCCTCTATATTTTAGTAACTGTACTCGCTCATTTTTGCTTTTGGAAATTGATCATTACTTTTTTTCCTTCATTATTGTTGAAAGTATTACAGGTG